TGTTTAATGGCTGCTTTTTTTGCTATTAATGCCGATGGCTCAGGACCATGATTTGTGGCATTCCTTGTAATAATAATAATAATCATCATCATAATTACAGCCCAGCACAAGTCCACTACTGAACATAGGCCTCCCCCAAGGAATACCACAAAGCACGGTGCCGAGCCAACTGCATTCATTGACTTCCTGCATGTCTTACCAGGTCGTCACTCTCTAGCGGGTGGACGCCCTACAGCCTGGCAGCACGAGGCTACTACTCGAAAACTTTTGTTCCCCATTGGTGGTCGGTTCTTCGAGCTATATGGCCGACCCATTGCCACTTCAGCATACCATTTCGTTGGGTTATGTCGGTTATTCTGGTTCTACTGCGGATATCCTCGTTTTAAAGTCGATCACGCAGAGAAACCCCGAGCATAGCCCTCTCCATAGCTTGCTGAGCGACTTTGAGCTTCCTTATATGGCCAGCAGTGAAGGACCACGTCTTAGTTCCATAAGACATCACTGGCAATACGCAGTAGTTGTACAGTCTCATTTTCAAGTTTGGAGGTATACCTGACGAGAAGATGTATCGCAATTTCCCGAACGCTGCCGAGCCTCTCGGTCAGGTCTCTCAGTGTCAGGTCTCTCAGTTTGACTTACCTAGTTGAACTATTTGTCCCAGGTAAACATATTCGTCAACAACTTCGAGCTTAGTGCTCCCAACAACTACCGGCAACGGTGTGACATGGCGTTAAACATGATTTTTATTTTGTCCATGTTCATCTTAAGACCTGTCCGTCGGGGGACACTATTGAGATCATTGAGCAGAGTGCCATAAGGACTATATCGTTTGTAGTTCTTAAGTTATTCCGTAATTGTAACACTTTGTATAAATGCAATAAAGAGTTATCTATCTATCTTTTTTTTTTTTTTTATAGGAGAGGGGGCAAACGAGCATGCGGCTCACCTGATGGTAAGTGACTACCGCCGCCCATGAACAACCGCAACACCAGGGGAATTGCAGATGCGTTGCCGGCCTTTTAAAAAGGAGTAGGCTCTTTTCTTGAAGGTTTCTATATCGTCTGTAAAACGAAAGCGAGTGATGTTTTCGCCATTGACGTTATTACCGTATCTTTTCCAGTACAGTAGCTTGAAAACAATTCCAATACAGCAGTGAAGAGTTTCGGGGATATAACTTCACCCTGTCTTACACTTCAGCACTTCTATATACCGACAGTCCACTTGGCATCGCTGGAGGGACTGCAGCACTGCCCAAATTTCGACGGAATCAAAGGCTTTCTCATAGACCACATACGCAAGACAAAGTGGCAGATTGTACTCTTCGGCCTTCTGTACAATATGCGTGTATGTGGTCTATAGTGTTGAAGCCTTTTCGGAAACCGGCTTGTTCTGGAGACTGGAAGTCGTCGAATCTGCATGCGAGACGATTCGTAATGACTCTCGAAAACAGCACGTAGACGCGGCTCAGAAGGGAAATCGGTCTGTAGTTCTTAAAGAGAGCATTGTCGCCTTTCTTGAACAACAAGACCACCACACTTCTGCTCCACGCCTTCATAATGGTACCTCCATGAAGGACGGAATTAACGAGCTTCTGAAGGACTTTAAGTACCGGTTTTCAACCCGCTTTCAGAAGATACACTGTAATTCCATCCTCGCCCAGGAACTTGCCGTTTTTAAGGTATTGGGGTGCCATTCTAATTTCTCTCAGACTGACGTGCGGGATATCATCGGAATAGTGTAGGATAAGACTTGCTCTTGGATCGTTACTCACACTTGCGTTTGTCTCCAACGATGACGTCTACAGCTGCCCATAGAACCTGTCAATTTCACTCAGAATCTCAAGTGCCACGGAAAGGATGCTGCCACATTTGATCTTCAGCTTCAACAGTTGGCACTTCACTCAGAATCTCAAGTGCCACGGAAAGGATGCTGCCACATTTGATCTTCAGCTTCAACAGTTGGCACTTCCTGGCAGACAGATCTCTGGCTAAGACTTTGGAGCTCTGGTTCAAGCAAGCAGTATTATTGATGCGTAAGTCCCGCCGCATACATTTTTTTTTATTGGAGAGGGGGCAAACGAGCATGCGGCTCACCTGATGGTAAGTGACTACCACCGCACATGAACAACTGCAACACCAGGGAGGGAATTGCAGTTGCGTTGCCGGCCTTTTAAAAAGGAGTACGCTCTTTTCTTCAAGGTCCCTAAGTCGTATCGGCATATTCCAGCGCACCGTCAAGAAGGTCGGCGAGCAATACCAAGTTGGACTGCCATGGAAGGACGACAACGTGCGGATGCCACCCAGCTACGAGATGGCAGCGCGAAGACTACGGACGATCGAAAGGAAGATGGACCAGTCGCCGGAGTTTCGTGACGCCTACACAGCCCAGATAGACAACCTCCTGGCGAAGGGATACGCAAGGGAAGCCGAGGGGACAGAGCGAGAGGATCCCAAGAGCTGGTACCTGCCACACTTCGCAGTACGGAATCCGAACAAGCCGGGGAAGACGAGAGTAGTGTTCGACGCGGCAGCGCGCGCATCCGGCAGATGCCTTAACGATTATTTACTCGACAGCCCCGACTTATTACGGAACTTACCGGGCATACTGTTTCGATTTAGGGAGAACGAGATAGCGGTGTCCGCGGATGATTAGTGTGGTAGGTGTTAGGGAGATGTTCTTGCGTGTAAAGATCGACCGTCGCGATCAGCCCGCGCAGTTGTTTCTTTGGCGAGGAGACGAGCGACACAGCCCACCGCGGGAATACGTCATGACGTCTATGATTTTCGGTGCGAGGAGCTCGCCGTTTCTCGCACATAGTGTTAGGGATCATAACGCGCGCGTACACGCAGAGACACACCCGTTGGCACTTAACGCTATCGTACGTAGCCATTATATGGATGACTATTTAGACAGTTATGCCACGGTAGAGGAAGCGATAAATACGGCGAAGCAGGTTTCAGAAGTGCACCAGCAGGCCGGTTTCACCTTGGCAGGATGGAACTCTAACCACGCAGCCCTGTTAGAAGACAAGCCGGAGGACTTACTGGCGCGTAAGCCTAAAGAAGTAGGCTTAAGACAAGACAGCCCAGGCAGAACCTTAGGGTTATTATGGATGGCTGATGAAGACGCCCTAACATTCAACACGTCAATGAATAGGGTGCCGCAAGAAGTAAAGGCGCTACAGCGACCACCGACCAAGAGGGAAGCATTAAGCGCGGTCATGTCCGTTTTTGACCCGCTTGGACTGCTAAGTTACCTCACCATCACCGCCAAGATCCTGCTACAAGACCTATGGCGTATGAAGAAGGTCGGATGGGACGACAAATTACCCGAGGAGGCAGCAGAGGAATTCCAGCGATGGCTGCGAGTCGTCGAGGAGGTATCACGACTACGACTGCCAAGGTGCTATGCTCCTACGGGGGGAGTGGTAGAGCGTCAACTTCACGTGTTCAATGATGCGAGCGAACGTGCGTACGCATCCGCGGCGTATTGGCGTATACGATATCGCGACGGAACGATTAGGGTACGATTAGTGGCGGCTAAGGCGAAAGTCGCTCCAATTAAAGCGCAAAGTATACCGCGATTAGAGTTGCAGGCGAACTTAATAGGCGCGCGACTCGCGGAATTCGTGCAGGACAAACACAGAGTGGTAGCAGATAGGGTCGTATATTGGACGGACTCTACTACGGCGCTCCACTGGATACAAAACGATACGGCGCGTTACACTCCATACGTTGCTCACCGGTTAGGGGAGATAGCTGAGAAGACATCACCCGAGCAATGGAGGTGGATACCGACCGCGGAATACGTAGCGGATCAGGCAACGCGTATGAATTTCACAACCAAGGAAGCGAGCGACAAGTGGTTTACAGGACCACCCTTCCTCTACGAGCATGAAGACAGATGGCCTCACCGACAGGAAGAGAAGGCGGGGGATGATGAAGAGTTGGAGGAAATCGTGGCGCACCAGAGCGACACCCAGGAGGCTCCACACCTGCCTGACATAGAGAGATTCTCTGCCTACGAAAAGTTAATCAGGGCCACAGCAAGAGTACTACAATTCCTCGATGCGGCACGAGGAAGAGCACGAGGACTGACCTTACAGCACATCCAGAGAGCAGAACGGATGTGGATACAACACAGCCAGCAGGAAAGCTTCGCTGAAGACATCAGCCGCCTTCAGCGGGGAAAGAATTTGACCACCGGCAGCGCACTAAGGAAGCTCGACCCCATATTGGAGGATGGAGTGCTACGAGCCAGGGGAAGGATCGACGCAGCCGACGTGGACGTCAAATGAAGAGACCCATTATCCTGAATGGACGTCACCAATTTGTGAAGCTGCTTGTGGAGAAGGCGCATCAGGAAGCAAGCCACGCCAATAGGGAGAGAGTGGTGAACGACCTGCGCACTAGGTATCATATCCTCCGATTACGACCTACAGTACGGGAAGCGGAGCGGAGATGCCTATGATGCAGAGTACGGAAGGCGACACCACGACCTGCGGTTACAGGAGACCTACCACCTGAACGGTTAGGGGCGTTTGCGCGACCATTTACGAACACCGGGATTGATTATTTCGGGCCTCTGACGGTTACGATAGGACGACGGCACGAAAAACGGTGGGTGGCACTGTTCATGTGCCTAACGACGCGCGCAGTACATCTAGAGATAGTCTATTCTCTGACCGCGGACTCGGCGATATCGGCATTGCGGCGCATGGCGGCTAGGCGTGGGTGGCCCACGGGTTATTTATTCGGATAATGGGACTAATTTTCACGGGGCAAACACAGAAATACGACGGGCAATGGAAGAGTGGACGCCACAGTTGCAGGATTACGCGCTGACTCGGCGCGTCGATTGGAAGTTCATCGCACCGGGCGCGCCTAACCAGGGAGGCGCATGGGAGCGTCTCGTGCGCTCAGTGAAGACCGCGCTCGAAGCCACTCTCCATCAGAAGAGCCTGTAGTGTATTTCGTAAATAAGTAAATAAGACACGGGTAAGCGGATTGACGGTTTATTCGTGACTGTTCGACAAGCCTTTTACAATCAATCACTTATATATTTAATGTACCCTCATTACAATCCTCCCCCTTAATTAAGACTTACAATTAGTTATATATAAGTATTTTATACTATACTGTTATACAGAAAAGGAAAAAAAAAATCTTGAAAATATTTAAAAAAAAAAAAAAGGTATATAAAAATAATATAGTGCAATGGTAACTACTCTTTATAGCTTGGGGGGTTATCCAAACGGCACTTGCGTACCGGCCGAAAGACCTGGGGCGGCGTTGCGGGCGGCACAGGCGACGTATGAGCTGATGGAGCACGAAGTGTTGACGTTTCCCTTGCCGTATCTAAGCAATCACTCTTATCTATTATTTCGGTTCCCTCCGGTGCTTTTGATTTCCTCCCGGTGTCTTTTACGGCAGGGTTTATTCTAGGCGCATTAATTTCCTCTGCACCGGTGCAAGACAACGACTCGGAACTCGAATTTGGCTGACTATTACTACTACGGGGACAAATCAGTGAACTCCTAATTCTACGTTTTAGCTGGTCTATATGCTTATGTGACTCCTTACCTATAGTGTCTAAAACTTTGTAGTCCGTTACGCCCAAACGTTGCGTCACTTGTCCGGCTGTCCACTTGTCACTCCCCTGATATCGGCGAAGCCATACATCCTCACCCGGCTGCAGGCCACGTTCACCAGTGGGAGCGTTCTCTTTCTGGTTTATTTGAGTTTTAATAATTTTATTCTCAATATCCGGTCTAAGTACGTCTAGTTTAGTACGTAATCTTCTTCCTAACATGAGAGAAGCGGGACTTTCGCCCGTAGTACAATGTTCGGTATTTTGATAATGCAATAGGAAAGTGTTTAAAAATAAATTTATATCTTTATTTTCCCTCACTGCCTTTTTAATAACTTTCTTGACAGTGCGGACTGCGTTTTCCGCGGCACCGTTTGAAGCCGGGTGGTACGGTGCGGTGAAAACATGCTGTATCCCATTATTTGTTAAAAACTGAGAAAATTCCTTACTGATAAATGGCGGCCCATTGTCTGATACTAATTGTTTAGGTAGACCCCACCTAGCAAAAACTTCGGAAAGTTTAACTATAGTGTGGCTAGCTGCTGTACTCGGTACATAAAAAACCTCTAGCCATTTAGTTCTGGCATCAATTATTACCAAGTAAATTTTATTGAAAATTGGCCCTAAAAAATCTATGTGTATACGAGACCAAGGCTTAGCCGGCCATGGCCACGGGCTTGGAGTGTGCCGTTGGGGCGCGTCCGCCTCGGCCGCACACACGACGCACGCTCGACACATCGTTTCGATTGCCTCATCGATCCCCGGCCACCACACATAGCTTCTAGCTACCGCCTTCGTTTTGACGATTCCCATGTGGCATTCGTGGAGTTCGTTTAACACCCTACCCCTGCAATTCTCCGGTATGACTACTCTATGACCCCACATGATACACCCTAGTTCTTCGTATAGTTCCTTTTTTCGGTTAAAATACGGTTGCAATGATTTGACCACATTATCGATGGGCCAATCTTCTCTTAAGTATAGTATAATTCTACCTAAAATCGGATCGCGCTGGGTTTGTTTTTTAATTTCATTATAATCTAGTAACATTTCACTTTGAGCGAAATGTAAATACGTTTGTTCAGGTAAATCTAAACATTCTTTCTTTGTGGATTGAACCGATACCGGTAGACGAGATAAGCCATCCGCACAGTTCTGTTTACTACTAACGTACTCTATGTCATAAGAGTAAGCGGATACCGTAATCGCCCAACGCTGCAATCGGCTCGCAGCCATTAAAGGAATGCCATGTTTTGGGCCAAAAATACTGACAAGCGGCTTGTGATCAGTACGTAAGGTGAACCGTCGACCATACAGGTATTGATGCAATTTTTTTAAGCAAAAAACAATTGCTAAAGCCTCGCGATCAATTTGTGAATAATGTTTCTCCGCGTCGCTGAGAGCTCTCGACACATAGACCACCGGCCGCTCGCTTCCCGCTGCGCCGGCGCACGGCTGAGTGAGCACGCCTCCTATACCTCGAGCGCTCGCGTCACACGTCAGTATTAACGGTTTGTTTTGATCGTAATGCAATAATACTTCCGCACTGGTTAAGACCTTTTTAATTTTTTTAAAAGAGTCCTCGCAACTTCTGTCCCAGTCCCAAGTAACACCCTTTTTTAATAAGCCGTAAAGTGGGGCTAAGGTAGTACTTAAATTTTTAATGAACTTAGCGTAAAAATTGACTAATCCTAAAAATGATCTTAAGTCCGAAACGTCCTTGGGGCGCGGAATTTTTACTATAGCAGCTACCTTGTCAGGATCAACTTTAATGCCATCTTTTGAAATAATATATCCTAAATACTTGACCTCGTCCACCATGAATAAACATTTGTCTTTCCTAAGCTTCATTCCGTTTTTATGTAATCTACTAAGCACCGTCTCCAATATTTGTAAATGCTCTCTTTCATTAGAAGAACCTATTATTAAATCGTCTAAAAATACTTCTACCTTTTCGATATCGTGAAAAAGATTTGACATTATACGCTGGAAAATTCCTGGACTTGATGACAACCCATATACTAGCCTGTTATACGTAAATAAGCCCCTATGTGTATTTATAACGGTAAGGTTTTTAGAGTTATCTAGTTCGATCTGATTGTAGGCTTGTGACAGATCGATTTTAGAGAATATTTTAGCGCCATTCATACCTACTAACAAATCATTAATCCTAGGCAAGGGAAATCTATCGACCAGCAATACGGGGTTCAATGTCACTTTATAGTCTGCACAAATTCGGAGCCCTCCATCCGCCTTACGTACCGGAACCAGAGGTGTAGCCCAGTCAGAGCTCTCCACGGGTTCAATAACCCCCTCCCGAAGCATCGCATCCAGCTCAGCATCCACGCGGTCCTTGAGCGCGTAGGGCAAAGGTCGTGCGCGGCAGAACACCGGTGTCGCCCCTTCCCGGACTCGCAGCGTCGCCTTGCCGCCCGCGAACCGCCCCAAGCCGCCGGAAAACAACTTGTTATATCTGTCGAGTAATAATGACAAATTATTGTTACTAAAATGGTCATCCAGCACCATGCTGTGGAATGTCGGAATTTTAATCTGCAGTTCCGACAGCCACTGTCTACCCAACAATGAAGTCGTGCCCCCATCTATTACAAACAGTTCTAAGTGCTTTGTTATATTTCCATATCTAACTTCGGGCTTGATGATGCCTAAAGGTTTGATTCGACTTCCATCATAAAATTTTAGAACCAGATCGAACTTGTCCATAGGTCTAGTGTAAAAATATTTATTATAAGTCGCTTTACTTATACAAGACACTGCCGACCCGGTATCAATTTCCATATTAAGTTTAAATCCGTCTAATAATAATGTTAGGCTCACCGGTTTATAGCTATTTAAACATAGATGGTGTAGATCCTCCTGTAACTCCGTTTGACTTTCCACGGATGGTGGCTCGTCGTCCGCTGACGGTGTCTCGCACTCTGCCGCCTCCACATGGTACATGTGGCGTCGGGAGCCCGCATTTCCCGTGTACCCCCCTCGTTTGGGACATACCCGGCGTAGATGACCGCTCTGTTTGCATTTACCACACACGAATTTCTTATAGCGGCAATCATCACTTCGGTGGTACCTCGACCCGCACGCGCTACAATATAGCGCATTGCCGCCGCCATGTTCTCGACCTTTAAAAGCCCTCGGTGCGCTGTCCTGCTCCCGCGTTCGAGCGCGGCTTGTCGATGACGTCACCGCATGCAAGGCGCTGTCCGCGCCGCTACCGCCGAGCCCGTCGCCGTCGCCCGCCTGCTCCACCGCGGCCGAATCCCGCTCCGCCGCCTCTAAAGCGCAAGCTATTCTCACAGCTACGGAATATTTCAGATTATCTTCTGCGAATAATCGTTGACGGATGACATCACTTCTTAGCCCACACACCAATTGATCCCTTAAATTGTCCTCTAGAGTTGAATGAAACTCGCAGTATTTCGACAATTTCTTAAGTTCGGTTATATACTGCGGAATCGTTTCTCCGCTCAACTGTCTTCTTTGTCGAAAACGATATCGCTCCGCCATGAACGAGGGTTTCGGTTGAAGATGTTCCTGAAGTATTTTTACCACTTCTTGATACGATTTATCTCCCGGTTTAATCGGACTTGTTAAATTACTTAATAATTCGTACGCTTCGTCTCCCATACCGGCGATTAATGTCGGCAACCACATTTCGTTTTTCACTGCATTTACCTTAAGGTACATTTCTAGTCTCTCAACATATAAAGTCCAGTTTCCCGTTTTGACGTTGAATTCACTCACTTTGCCGATCGACATTATATTTAATATGCGTCCACGTAAATTTACCGAAAAAATAAAAACGACTTGATCCTCGTCGCCACTGTAGTGTATTTCGTAAATAAGTAAATAAGACACGGGTAAGCGGATTGACGGTTTATTCGTGACTGTTCGACAAGCCTTTTACAATCAATCACTTATATATTTAATGTACCCTCATTACAGAGCCCACGAGAAGAAACGTTGGCAACGCTTCTGACTGAAGCCGAAAATACTGTAAATTCTCGACCGTTGACGCACGTACCGGTCGACATCGACGATGAAGAGGCGCTGACACCCAACCACTTCCTACTGTTGGGACCATCGGGCCTGCCAGTCACCGCGCCGTGCACACCCATGGATCGTCGGGCGTGGAGAGCGGCGCAGGGGCTCGCCGACGAATACTGGAGGCGCTGGTTGAAGGAGTACCTGCCGACGCTGGTCGCGCGCGGGGACTCTAGATATGCTCAGCAGCGCCAAATACAGGAAGAGGACCTCGTCGTGGTTGCAGACGGCAACCTACCCAGGAATGTGTGGCCGCGGGGCATCGTAACGAAGACGTTTCCTGGACCAGACGGCGTGGTGCGAAACGTCGAGGTCCGGACCAAGGGAGGAGTGCTGCGGCGGCCCGTCAGGAAGATCGCCGTCCTCCCGAAAGAAGCTTAGGCTCGCAGGCTACGCCGGGGGGAGGATGTAGCGGACAGCGAGGAGGCCGCCGCCCCGTCGCCCCTTCACACCCCGGTGCGCCCCGCGCACCCCGCACACCGGCAGCAGATCACGCGATGTCGCCGACCAATAAGCGCGCGGCATCGCGGACGACGCTACGCACGACCCGAGACGCTCTCCGGCGAGATATAAGAAGGGCGTCTCGGTCGGTGAGCTGTTCATTTCGGAAGCGGCACTCGAAGAGAAGAAAACAGCAAGAGAAATCAAGAAAATCAAGACTCAAGAAGACTCCAATAAGAAGACTCCCCTCTGTATATAGTGTAATTAATAGTGCCATATTGTAAACAGTTTGAATACAGTATAGTTCGACAGTACCATCTTTTCTTTAAGCAGTTGTCCCTAGCGTACTCAATAATACAGTCCACTGCGATCCCTAACAAATATAAATCGAACAAAAAGATTTAACTTTTAGCTTAAAACATTTCACTTTATACTTTACTTAACACTTTAATAATACGTCAATGTCGAAAATAGGACAGCAAATTTAATTACGACATTTAACATAAAAACAAAGGCATCTTTAAATATTTATAGTGCCCCTCGGGCGTGACAAGCCTCGTAAGAGGGACCGATTCTTTTTCCAGCGGGATCTGGTGAAATCCTGTTGCCATGTCAAGGCTTGTAAAATACTTATTTTGTCCTAATCGATAGATGTGATCATCGATCCTCGGTAACGGTAACCGATCCTTGAGGGTAACTTCATTGAGTTCACGGAAATCTACGCACATGCGGTCCGATCCGTCTTTCTTTTTAACAAAAAGGATGGGAGTCGCATATTCGGACTCTGACTCTTGGAAAATCTTTTTTTCTAACAGATTCTTAATTTTGTCCCGAACGCGAAGGATTTCAGCAAATGCAAGACGGTATGGTCTATAGTTAATTGGAGTATAGTTGCTCAATTTAATTGACATGCTACCGGTTTTTACAGTAGACGTAGCGGTTTCCGATATGAAATACTCGGGAAATTCATTGATGATTACCAGTAACTGCTGCAAATGATTACCAACAAGCGGTGTCGTCTTAACAGGAATAGACGGTTCTGACAGAACAGTTATCACGCTGCTTGACTTACTAGTTTCCCTCACAAGTGACTGAAAATCACGCGTACACGCCTTCCCTGTTAAGAACATCTGTACCCACTATAATCGGAGAATTCATGAACTCTGAAGCAACCACAAAAAAATCTACATCGAGGGTTAAATCATCAAACTCGATTGGTAAAGTTACGTACGACGTGCTTTCGAGTTCCTGACTTCCCAGTCCCTTTAACACTCGAAACGCTGGCTTACGTGAACAATCAAAATGTTTCAACAAGGATGACGAAATAAGCGATATAGTTGACCCGCTGTTAATTAAAATGTCTACCGGCACTCCCTGAATAACGGCTACCACAACGTCACTATTACGGGTATTTTGATTTTCGCAACAAATGTTTACCTCCTTTTTATTATGTAACTCTGACTTATGCTTATCGAAACAAGTTTCAATTTTATGGCCCACCTTTTTACAGAAAGAACACATTTCAGGCTTGGTTGGCACAAAGACAGGTTTTGAACTTTCACTACTGGAGGCATTAAAGTGGCTTTCACCTTTTTCAACTTGAAGTTTTTTTGTTACAATTAGACTGTCCATGTCCCGATTGGCCACACAAAAAGCACCGTCCTTCGTCAAAACGTCTTTTTCGTGGATTTAAATTTGAGACGGATTTATTTTTAAAAAAGGTTGTATTTTGAGACAATGCAGGCCGAGTATTATTATTTTTACTTATAATTGGTTTTACATAGATAGAGATAAATTCGACTAGCTGGTCAGGTAATAGCTTAGCATTGGTGGCGGTTGCTCGTATTTGTGGATCAGTAATCCCGCGTATTACAATTGCAGACACTAACTTATCACTGAGCCCCCGTACAATACGTAAACGAAGTAACGAGCGACGAGCATAGTCAGCGTATGTAGGGTAGTTATCAGAATTTGTACTCATTATCTCGTATACAATATTTGCACTGTCCGGTGATTTCGGACACAACGGAACGAACTCCTTTTTAAAACTACGCCAACTACGATCGCTCGTTTCCCACTCGTTCAACCATGTTTTGGCGTCATCTTTTAAGCAATTACCTATACGTGAAAGGCAATCGTAATCAGACCAATTATTCAAAGTTTTAGCGCAATCTACCTCTTTGCACCAAACTTCAATATTGTGAATACTGGGGTCAAAGATCGAAACGTAGTAGTGTTGAATAGAACTCGCTCCCGTGTTGATAGAACGAATTGCATCAACTATCCGGTTAGCCACCGTAGACGACGTATTTTCTTCACTCAGGATACGTGCCGACGCATTTTCCACGTCCCTAATAACATGCGGTTCAATCGGTGCCAGTGTTGGTAGGGGCGGTGTTTCGGAATGCATTATACGGTCTTCACGCGGTGGCGCAGACTGGCTGCGGGGTGGTGACGTCACGCATCTAGCCACAGGAGACGTTAACCGGCGCCGGAATGGCGGCGTTGAATCGCGAGCAGGTTGCGAAGCGTGGGTAGCTAGCAAACTGTTCTTTAAAGCACTTAAACGCGCCAACACAGTACTTATCCCTTTACTGAGATTATCAACTGGAGTATGAGCACGGTATTTACTACGTCGTCGTTCTCGACCATTGTATCGACTGCAGCGACGTTCACATCCCGACACTCCTTCCTCTTTATAAAAGATTCGCGTAGTTAAGAAATCAAAATGGCGAACGACAAGGAATCGCGTAAGTATTTTAATCCCACTTCTGATCTTATGTAAAACTTATTCGAGGTTATTTTTTTTAAATAAAGAGGAAAGAATGATAACACAATTTTTTTAATTCACACACAAAAGGAAAATTAACAAAACTAATGCTAGGAACAATCTTACATGTATAACGGCCCCACGCAAAAGAAGAGCGATCGCGTCGCGCGCACTGTTTTTATACCATTAGGGCTTGCATGGGAAGGGAGACTTCTATCTTCTACTACAGTACATATTTAAAGAAATATCATTGTATTTATGTAATAACGATGTTTAAATTTCGTATAATATAATTAATAACTTACGCGTAAATGTTTACGAATCGATATTGGATATCATCATCATCATCATCATTACAGCCTTTCATAAGTCCACTGCCGAACATAGGCCTCCCCCAAGGAATGCCACAAAGCACGGTCCTGAGCCACCTGCATCCATCGACTTCCTGCATGTCTTACCAGGTCGTCACTCCATCTCGTGGGGGTTCGCCTTACACTTCGCCTACCGGTACGAGGCTGCCACTCAAGAACCTTTCTTCCCCATCGGTTGTCGGTTCTTCGAACTATGTGGCCGGCCTACTGCCACTTCAGCTTACTAATCCGTTGGGCTATGTCGGTTACTCTGGTTCTACAACGGATATCCTCATTTCCAAGTTTATCACGCAGAGAAAAGCCGAGCATAGACCTCTCCATAGCTCGCTGAGCTACCTTGAGTTTCCTCATACGGCCAGCAGTGAAGGACCACGTCTCAGATCCGTAAGTCATCACTGGCAACACACACTGGTTGTATAATTTCGTTTTAAGGTTTTGAGGTATGTCCGACGAGAAGATGTGTCGTAGTTTGCCGTACGCTGCCCAGCCGAGTTGAATCCGCCGATTGACTTCTCGGTCGAAGTTGGACTTACCTAGTCGGACTATTTGTCCCAGGTAAATATACTCATCAACAACTTCGAGCTTAGTGCTCCCAACAACTACCGGCATAGATGTGACATGGACATTAAACATGATCTTTGTTTTGTCCATGTGCGTCTTAAGACCTATCCGTTGGGAGACACTATTGAGGTTATTGAGCATGGTGCTTGGGTCCTCCAGCGATTCTGCCATAAGGACTATATTGTCGGCAAATCAAAGGTGAGTGATGTACTCGCCATTGACGTTGATACCGTATCCTTTCCAGTCCAGAAGCTTGAAAACGTCTTCCAATGCAGCGGTGAAGAGTTTCGGGGATATAACGTCACCTGTCTTACACCTCTCTGCAATTGGATAGGTTTCGTACTCTGGTTCTGTACTCGGATAGCCATCGTAGCCCTACTGTACAAGCACTTGAGCACTTCGACATACCGACAGTCAAATTGGCATAACTGAAGGAACTGCAGCACCACCCAAATTTCGACGGAATCTAAGGCTTTCTCGTAGTCCACATACGCCAGACATAGTGGCAAATTGTACTCCTCGGACTTTTGTACAACTTTCCGAAGGGTATATATGTGGTCTATGGTGCTAAAGGCCTTTCGGAAACCGGCTTGTTCGGGAGGCTGGAAGTCGTCAAGTCTGCGCGCG